TTAGGTTTTATGACGGTGTTTGTGTAAAACCTTATTATATAATGCCACCCAACTAAAGTGCCCTCGGCACATACAGCCCCAAGCCCAAACGCCTTCAAACCTTCAGCCATACAAATTTTGGTGAGGACCCATTTCTTGCATTGGAGTGATTCTCACGACCAAAGTAATTTGGATCAGGTGAAGCCTGTCAATAAGGATTACATAAGAGAAGGGTCAGTTTCTTGGCCTATTCCTAGACAAGAGACTCAACTTCAGCACCCACATACAGTACAACACATAACTAAGAAAGTCTCTAAAACAGTTGGTATACTCTACAAAATCAGATATTATATACCTAACTCTGCTCTCATCTCACTATATTATGCACTAATCTATATCTATCTTAATTATGGTATCTGTGCATGGGGTTCAACCACTGCAAACCACCTCAAATCCATCATCACTCAGCAAAAATCTGCTGTCAGAATAATAACAAACTCTGCTTTCAGACAACACTCAGCCCCCTTGTTTAAATCCCTCAACATGCTAAACAAACTCACTCCACACATTCTCTTGTGTCACTTATATTTACAAAACCCTTGTGTCACTTATATTTACAAAAGTAATAAAGGGGGAGAGATGACTTGGTCATCATCAAAGTAGTGACATTGCACGTCACCACTTTGACGTGGTAACTTGCCATTGCACGTAATTAAAGTTAAAGTAAAGTAAAAGTCCACAACTGTACTATGTTTTGTATGTTTTTTTTAATATACGATCAATTATTATTAGTCAATACCCTTAATAGATTTGTTAATGGATATATAGCACTGACAACTGTATAGATAATTATTTAGCTAATGACAGACAAGTACATCAAAGGAGCTTTTAATACAACAAGCAATTGCAATTTTAGTGAAACTTGCATGTATGGGATCTTGTATGAGATTACTCAGGATCTTGTGCCAACATCAGAAAAGGGCAACAGTAATCAAAGGATCTCTGTAGTACAGTTGGGTTCTTTCTCGACTCAGTCGGGAGTCCTGGGTTCGAATCTCGTGCAGGGTAGAAATGACTCGGCATGTTTCCTTTCATCTAATGCTTCTGTATACCTAACAGTAAACAGGTACTTGGGAGTTAGTTAACTGTTGTGAGTTGCATCCTGTGAAATGGTAGAATACTAGAATGGACAAAGCAAAGGTTAAATGGTCGTTCAAAATGGAAATGAATCTGACTGGAGAAATTTGATGAGTGGAGTACCGCAAGCTTCCATCTTGGGGCCAATCCATTTTTGTCATAAACATCAATGACATATATGGGAATATTGCAATCCACACCATCAAATTTGCACAAGACACTAAGATCTCCAGAAATCTGATAAATCTGATAAAGATCTCTGATAAAGTAAGAAGCGAAAATTATATCCAGACTTTACAGAGATGAACATGAACTTCTCAAATAGTCGGAAGACTGGCAAATGATTTTTGATATGGAAAATGCAGCACCTTACATGTGCTGCATTTTCCGTCTGGCCAGAAAATTTTCGGGGGGTTATGGGCCGCCTCCGTCTGGTCGCCCCCCAGGCCAGACGGGGGCGGCCCCAGTGCTACAAATCGGCATCTATAGCGCCCCTTAACCCCCCCCCCTGCAATTTTCATAAAGTCAAATCTGAAATAGAGATTGTATTTACCGTAGATATATTTAGCAGTGTCAGTGGTTCGAAATATTACATTTTCCGAGAAAAAAAGTGGGGGAGGGGGAGGCGAAAAATGTTTGAATAGAGGGAAGGGGGAGAAAGGTGGAGAACGGAGATTAGAAAAGAGGGTGGAGAGTTAAGGAGAGGGGGATTTGAAAGTTGAGAGAGAGGAAAAACCTAGGTGCACCCAGGTACCCTATCTTTGCATAATATAAAATCATAATAACAACATGTAATCATATAATGATTAGTATATGATTATGGACTAATCACATGGACTTTGTTGAAACTTTTGGCAAGGTACCACATGAAAGACTAGGAAGGAAACTACAGGCACTTGCAATAAATGGGAGAATACTGGAATGGATAAAACAATGAAAACCCGAGTCGTGCTAAATTAGAATAAATCTGACTGGAGAAATGTGGTAAGTGGGGTACTTTTGTCATTATACATCAATGACAGAAAATATTACTCACCACATAATCAAATTTGCAGATGACACTAAGACTTATGGTAAAGTGGGAAGTGAAAATGAGATTGAGACTTTACAAAGAGATCTATATGAACTCCACAAATGGTCATAAGAACGGCAAATTCGTTTTAATATCGATAAATGCAAGACCTTGCATGTGTGGGGCATAACAATCCACGTCACAACTAGCAAATTAACAGAGTTCATTATTCATCATCAACCTTGCAGCAGATTGTCGGATAAAAGGACCTTACCTTGAGGTTACCTTGAGGTGCTTCCGGGGCTTAGCGTCCCCGCGGCCCGGTCGTCGACCCGCCGGGGCTCCCATATCATAATTGCTGAAAGTCGCTAGCTGAAAGCCTAAAAGTCGCGAAATTATATAAAAAAAAGAGCCCAATATTTTATTTTTTTTACTGACTGATACGGGTTTCAAACTAATATATTTTAATACGTGAAGTACTAAATGAATTTTAGGGTTCAGTCCCACAGGCTGGGTATGGGGTGCATAAGTGAACTATTTTTTGTATTATTTATCTGAATTTATATATAGAAGAGTTCTTGCATTCTTGTAAAGCCACTAGCATGCATAGTGTTTCGGTCAGGCCCTTAATACTGTTTTTCCCTGGCATATGACCCGTCAAATCTTTTAACACCATTCACTGCTGGGTGAACAGATGCGTTCAGTTGAGGATTGGCGCCCAGTCAATCCTCCCCGGACAGGATGCGACCCCAGGCCAACTCGCTCGCAAAGTACGAGGCACATAATGGGATCATCCCTGATCCCATTATGTGCCTCAGTAACCTTTTCCACTACCGACCACACAATGGGTGTGGACGAGTGTATAATAAATGAACTAAGCTATTTTTTCCAAACCCAGTTTGACAAGATCATCAGGACAAATGAGGGACCTTTGATAAACTGCCGACTTCCTGTCCTCGTCGAGGCCACTAGAGATACAGTTGCTCTCAAGTAAATATGAAGCAGCTAAGAGTCGGACAGACTTTGAGTCAGGGCAAACTATAACAATACTTGTACTCCGTACTAGTACGGAGTACAAACTAAAAGTCTACTGTAGACTAAATTAGACTAAAAGTCTAATGTATAACATCGTGACTTTTTGAGCAACCTATATACGCTTTTGTCATTACAGGCAGCGAGGAAGACGTAGTCGTTGATGTTGTTGTTGTTGTTATAGATTCAGCTACTCGGAACAAGTTCCAAGTAGCACGGGCTATGGTGAGCCCATAACTTACCTGGCACAGGAGCGGGGCAAGTAGCACGAGCTATGATGAGCCCGTAGGGATTGAGTCGTTGATGGCCATACTTGTTGATATACGAGACTAGTCACAAAAGTGGAAGTAGAGGAGACATAACCATCAGGATGTTCAGGGTGTAGCGAGTAGATTATCCCAATAATATACTCGCTCCAAATGCATTGTTAATATTCCTGTCAACCTTTGGAGATGAATGAGGTGAGGCGTTGCCTGGGCAATACGGTGAGGTGTTGCCCGAGCATATAAGCAGCGGTGTAGCGAACATTGGCTAGTCTACTTTCAAGTGTGGTCTAGAGCAGACACTTGCGAGATACTGTACCGACGCTCAGTGCGCTCAACTCACACCAAAGTATCACCGGTGTACTTCTGTATATTCGACCAAATATATATATAGTATCTTAGTATCTGTGTTTATTTGTCACCATACTTTACGTAACAATAGAACCGTTACAAGGGAACTACCCTGAGTCAAAACCAAAGTCGCAGGGTCAGTGGCTGCAGGCGTTGGACCAGAAGAGTTAAATTCTTACCAAACTTTGGGATGAGCGGGATGGTTGGTGTAGCGGCATAATTCCAATAAATCTCTGAAGGGTTATTTAGGTCGCTACAATAGCTTACTACCAGATAGTATACTTTAGTCCTGAATACAGTACAGGACTACAGTCACATTTCGATGTATATAGACAGGTGTGTGAACTTAACGCATCATAGTGTATATATATTCCTGAGGAGCAGAACTTACGAGTTACGGGCTATTCATGCCCGTGGCACCTCTTGGGTGGCTTAATCTTCAATCAACTTCCGACAGGCGAGACTATGGGTGTCTTTGGAGGTAGTTATAACCAGGGTTGATCTTTGTGAGGAAACAAGGGATATTTTCAGCAACCAAATAATGTGTCGAGTGTGAGAACGGTTACGTCTTATTGGCTCCCAAAAGTATGATTAATTTATAGCATATAAGCTACTGGTTTACATGATATAACTGGTTGGTTGCTTGAACTGGCTGGTTCTAAGACACACAAGTCTGCGAAATAGTTTATTATTAAACAGCCAGAAGAATATATCATACTTGGACATAACTGTAAAAATGATTGGTGGTGATAATACAATTGTAGAGTTAGCCATTGCCAGATTTGTAGTAACTAACTAATGGCTTCCTGGAGTTAATACTTGACTTGGACAGGCAGTGACTCTCGTAGGACACTTTCAATTGGGAAGTGACTGACCTGCTGGGAGTATTGTGTTCTGTTGGAATTCTTATGACAGTCAAATCCTATCTTTTCATTATTTGCAGGCCACCACTCCTGTACATATATATAGTAAATGTAATACTACAACTTCAAGCAGATTCCAAAGTGCTTGTCTAGTAGGAGCCAGTTTGAAGAAGACATTTAATGTATTGTGGGGGTTTGGGGGGAATTTTTACACTGTGCTTCCATCGGAAGCTTTTGGGCTTGCCTAGAAAGTTTTGATTAAGTTTAGAGCTCTAAAAATGGCAAAATGCATATTTTTTATTGTTTGATGCCATGACATTCTTCAGATTTATGCAAACTGTACCAGGATATTAAATTTCAGTGTGAAAATTCAAGACATGCTTATATTTGTTTATTTTTTATATTGCTCCAATATATGTACAACTTAATTCCTCAAACCCGGCACCATAAAAAAGAAGTGATAGATCAATACGAATTTTTAATGCCTCATTTTATAATATTTACACCTACAGGCAATTTTTAAAAAAATTACAAAATATATCCTTAATAAAATATGTAGCCAACAAAATATATTAAAATAAAATGTATATATACATTTCATAACAATACTTCATGAAGACAAGTTACAAGTTATAAAGTCCATAATGAAAATTTTGATCTAAAGTTCCACTGTAGACTTTACGGGAAAAAGTAAGACACATACACACGGGAGTACCGTAATTACAGTTACACCCACAGTATGATGTTTAGTATTACAACACGAGTACAGTACTTTAATAATAAAGGGCTCGAGTGCCACTGTCAAGCACATGCAGCATTGTATATCAAGCAGGCAAGGCGAGCAACGCCAGACAGCCCACTCATCAATATATGAACAGTAGACAAGGTAATGTACAATACATACAATTAATTATATTAGAAGTATATAAAATAATCCTTACTAGAATATAAAGTCTATGTAGTCACTACATATATAAATACATTCATTCCTAGTGTCAAAATTGATGGTCGATTAATGCTAATTACTGCAGTTGATGTAAAGGGACAATTTGCGCGCTTCTCATTAGATCTTCGGAAACCCGCTTTCAAGGTTACTTATGTTAAAGATTATTATTGTAATGCACTCTGTATTTACATTTACACGGTTCGTGTAGTTGAATTTTCATTCACCAGTTGTCTTTAACAGTGCTAAATATAAATTACTTTTATTATGTTACATATTCAGGATATATACGTATTTCTGCATATTCATGCAGAATGTGCATGAACCAACCTTCATTGTATACATTTTAAATATATTTATCATCTGACTTCCCCAGGTATATCCACATACGACTGCTAGAGAAGTCTATAAGATAAACCTGAGCATCACAGCCAGGAGGACTCCCAGACATATGACTGCCAGGATGACCCAAGCCACACACGCACCACCTCGGCAACACACCCGGTTCTTCTCCTCAGCCTCGCTCTCTAACTGTCCTACTGACGCTGCTACTTTTGCTACAACTCCAGGTGGAAGGGTCCCATTTTTATCTGCAGTTTTACGAACAGGTAAAGGTTCCGGATTCCCCTTTTCATCCACTACCAGTGGGAGCGGCCGAGCCATAGGTGGGAGGAGGTGTGGAGGAATGCCAGGGGGAGCCCCAGCAGCTGCAGGGCCAAGGATGGCCGAACCTGCGAGACTTCGTCGGTCAGCTGGCAAGGTCCTCCCTGGGAGTGTTCCGTACATTGCGCCAGGCGGTGACGCAAGACGCATATCATAGATGGAGTTAACACGACGAGAGGCCCCTGACGGAGGTGGCAGTGACAAGGCTCCGTGTGGCATCATGGGCGGGTACCCTGGAGGGGGTAATGGGCCATGCGGGCCATGCGGGCCAGGAAAGGACAGGGGTCCACTGCCATGTACAGGGCAGGGCTCGCCGTCCCAAGTGGCCAAGGCCAAGGCCGGCACTGAACGAGCAGACTTCAATGTGCCAGGGTAAGCCGGGTGATGTGGGGGACCAGGTGGGTAGCCTCCTGGGTAGTAGCCATATATCGGGTGTGGCATGGTACCAATCGCCATCCCAGGTCCTGGCGCTTGTTCACTATCATCTTCACTAGATGATGATGACGATGACGACGTAGTTCCTGAAGGTGTGTGTGGGCGGGAAGGAGGGCGACCGCTAGAGTACGAAGGGCGTGAGGGTGGATAGTGAGCAGGTGGCGGGCGGGTGGCATATTGTGAGCTGGAGCCGGACGGGTAGCCGCCAGCGTAGGGGACCAGGTGTGGCTGGCTAGAGTCCCGGGAGTCACGCTGTGTGCGCCACGACTTGTCTGTGTGGTGGCTCAGGCGGTCGCTGGTCGACGGTGGCCCGGCGCGCCCAATTGCTCCTGTCAATGAAAATAAACGAACTTCAGCAAATAATATTCACGTGGAATTACTATTATGGTTTTTGTAATAATTTAGACTAACAGTGACTAATAAATTCAAGTAAAATTTTACATTTTGGAAATATTTTTAATATATATTCTTGCTAGGTCTGGTATTTCTAAGGTCATTAATCCTCTTTGTCTCTCTTGTTTTCTGGACTGGACTGTTTTCTAAGAGAAGTTCCGGATCAGCCGGGCTGTGGTGGGTATGTGGGCCTGCGGGCCGCTCCAAGCAACAGCCTGGTGGACCAAACTCTCACAAGTCGAGCATGGCCTCAGGCCGGGCTTGGGGAGTAGAAGAACTCCCAGAATCCCATCAAGCAGGTATCAAGCAGGTTGTTCATACGGTGTAATATATTGGTGATACCCAACTGATCTGAAGAATTTCGCGGCTGGGATAAACACACAACCAAAACGATGATATCTGCTTTTCTACCGACTGCAGCTTCCTGGAGGACGTCGTTTATATTTCCAGGATCTTGTATGTTCCGCTGAAGTATCTGTAATGGTCTGACTACGGCTTCCGTCGGTGCTGCCTGTCCCAGTGCAAGTCCTCTTCGGATTCAAACTCTATATCTTCCATTTAGCAAGTAGTTGTGTCTCCTGCAAACCGAACAGCACTCATAGTTTCAAGTTCGTGCATGACTAGACATGCACTGCTGAATGAGCAACTATACCTTCGGTGTTGCTTATATCTATACCAGTAAACTGGAAGTGTGTTGTGTCGAATTGTTGAGTGGAGTAAGTGCAAGGAATAGCAAGTTTCTAGTAGCGTGTGTTGTGTGTGGTTGTGGTTAACTGCAAGTAGTTTTGTGGTGGCGGTAGTAGTGAAGAACTACAAGTGTATGCGAGTGGTTGTGTAGATGTGCAAGTGTAGTGTGTGGGAACGACTATAAGGGTGTGGGGCGTATACCTGGTCCCAAGTTACTGCCCCGCTCGTGTGCCAGGTAAGTCCACTACGGGCTCGCCATAGCCCGTGCTACTTAGAACGTTTTGTTCCGAGTAGCTGAATCTAAAACAACAACCTACACACCTGGTCCGTATCTGTCCTGAAAGCCGCTCTGATGGTAGTTGAGGTCTCGCTGCTGCCAAGCCATAGGCGTACACGGGTCCCCCATGTCCATCGCCCGACTCGACATCGCCATCCTGTAAACACACAAACACACACACTTCAGCACCATCACCCACAACAAAAGGCACGGTAAATATATTTATATCCACGTATTAAACCACAAGGAATGGGGCTCTACTTGTACTCAAGGGTCATGACATCTACAAAAACGCAACAGAATATGCTGCTCGCCATCACAACGAGCCATATCATCAAACCTGCAGATGACTATTATTATTATTAACATCTCTATTGACAAAATTAATTACAATTTTGTCTAATCTGAGGATTTCAATTAAGTCCTATTAAAGTGAGGATAATGCTGGTATTCACTGTCACGCAGGACAGAGGGTCATACACAAGACAATAGGTCTAAACTGGCACATATATATATCATGATTACAATCAATGTTTTAATGCATGAATATGTGAAAACAACTTTCTATTGTCCTGCAGATGACGCTAAGATTTATGATAAAGCAGGAAGTGGAAATGATACCGAGGCCTTACGAAGAGATCTACATAATTCCGTAAATGGTAAGACTGAAGCTTTTTAATGTTGAAAAATGCAAGTCCTTGCATGTCGGGCATAACAATATGCATCATAACTACCAAATCAACAGCACTGCCTTGCAGTGGGTTGATAAAGAAAAGGACCTTGGAGTCAGAATCCACAAGTCATTGAAAGTTGCACAAGTGGGAGCGGCAGTAAACTGTATACATTTCTAGTACGTCCTATGTGCGAATTACTTACAAAGTAGGGAGATGGATCTTTAACTTCCTAACGAACAGAACGCAGTGTAATAGTCAACATAATAAAATCCGGATTATCTACTGTGAAAAGCTCAGTCCCCCAAGGTACCGTACTTGCTCCCATGCTTTTTTTCATCCTCATGTCAGACATGGACAAGGATATAAGCTACAGTACTGTATCATCATTTGCAGACGACACTAGGATGTTCATGCTAGAAGACAATATAGAAGACACAGGAAGCCTCCAATCTGACGAAGTGGTCTTTCAATGGGACACACATAATGTGATGTTTAATAAAAATAAGTTCCATCTGCTGGGCTATGAGGAAAAACGAAAATATCAAAACCGAAACCATATATAAAACTGAATCAAATCTCACTATAGAATGAAAAAGTAATGTAAAGTATTTAGGAGTAATAATGTCGGAAGACCTTACCTTTAAAGAACACAATAAAGTAGCTGTCACGACTGCAAGAGAAATGACAGCTTGGACAATAAAGACCTTCCAAACAAGGGATGCAATACAATAATGATACATGTCAAGACACTAGTGCTCTCTAGGGTGGCATATTGTTGCACACTAACAGCCCCCTTCAGAGGCGGAGAAATTTCTAACCTACAGAACGTGCAAAGATCCTTTACCGCTAGAATCTAGTCTATAAAAAATCTAAAATGTTGGGACCGATTAAAAGTTCTAAATCTGTAATTTATAGAGCACAAGTGAGAGATACATAATAATCTACACTTGGAAATATTAGAGGGGCTGGTTCCAAATCTGCACACGGAAATATCAAATGAAACCAGTAGGCATAGAAGGATATGCAATATAGCCCAATTGAAAAGCAAAAGTGCAATAGATATGATGAGGAAGAACTGTCAACATCAAGAGCCCAAGACTCTTCCACACCCGCTATAATGACCAAACCACACACACAACTGTAGATGTGATAGAGCCCAGTAGGCTCAGGAATCTGTACACTAGTTGATTGACAGTTGAGAGGCAGGACCAAAGAGCCAGGGCTCAACCCTCACAAGCACAACTAGGCGAGTACAACTAGGTAAGTACAACTCTTCCGCTACATATGAAGGGGAATAACTGGCCGGCCTCTCACGGTGTTACAGAAAGAACTCGATAAACACCTCCAAAAAAATACTTGATTAACCAGGCTGTGATTCATACGCCAGGCTGCGAGCCTGAAGCTGCGTCCAAGAATCTGGTTGACTAGACTACCAACCAGGATATTTGGTCAGAGCCCGGGCCGTGGGGAAGTTGATCCACGGAATCATCACTAGGTAAGGTGTGAGAGACCTCACTATGGCGTCATAATTTGATTCTCGCCCTAGTTTTAGATTATACTGGAGTACGTATTACCCGACTTCTGAGTTGTTTTCACTCACTGCATCCTTGTTTAACGGTCTGTTCTCTTGAGATAGTTAAGCAAGTCGCCCCAGCTGCGTCTGGGTACAACTAACACGATGAACAACAACAAGATCCCGTCTGGGATCCTCTCGGACGTAGGTTCGAACCCTCGTCACGGCCCTTGTGGATTTGTTCAACCCAGCAAGTTTTCTTCCTGTGGGAATGGGGGGGGGGGGGGCTGCATATGATACTATGGCCGGGCTCGTCTTCAGATCAAATCCATTACCATGAGAAACCTCACTCACTCTCAAACCACCTGGATTTAAGGGTGGATAACCCTCAAAGCTGGATAATGGATACCCCACCTAATTATCTAGATATTTCCAATGGTCTCAACGCATATTATGGTTCCGGTATTAGTGTACATGTAAACTGGCAAATGAACCTTTATTGTAAACACAGATTATTCTCAAATTATAACTTTATTGTAATATATATCGTTGGTTTAAAATATAAAAGTATGCTGAAAACGGTTTCTTTCAAGAATTTTGTTTTCTGTAAATGGAATTCGCAGGCATACTCAAATAGTTTTTGAATACCATATTTCACCTTATCGTCAATAATAAATCGTATTAGCATAACCAAACTTAATGAAACCCAAGCTAACCTCTCCAGACCTTAAACTAAAGTATCCTTAATCTACCATGAATAGAGTAGATAATAGCACTAATTACGTAGTCGTTACCAATCTATTCCCTTTAGTGGATCTCCTCACTAAGGACAGGTTTATAGCGATATGCTCACCTCTTATGGCCAGTACTAAAAAATGGAGCCAAAAATGACTAATATATATGAATATAGTTTGTGTCTGTTGGGGGGTTGGGGAGGGGGTTCTGAGGGCGAAGGTCAGGACAAGGAAGCACACAATTGGAGACGGGGGTTGAGGGGAGAAGGGGGTTGAGGGGGGAAGGGGGTTGAGGGGGGAAGGGGGTTGAGGGGAGAAGGGGGTTGAGGGGAGACAAGGGGGTTGAGGGGAGAAAAGGGGATTGAGGGGAGAAAAGGGGGGTTGAGGGGATAGGTAGCAAGGTGGCCTCCGTGGTTCAGGGGGGGGAGGGGGAGGGCGCCCAGTGGGAAGTCACAGAGTGAGGCGCTGGGATTCCTATCCACCATCATCATGGATAGCGGGACTTCAACTGCTTAAGAGTCCAACTAGATTATTTTTATATTACAAGTCTCAACTTTGTTACTGGTGGGAGAACGAGTGTTTTGGTACCGTTAACCTCCCGAAATTAATGATACGTGCAGGAAAAACAGGTCCCAAATATGAAGTGAAGTAGGAGCAAGGTGTTATTGTACCGGGCGGAGGCCGCCTAGCGTCAGGGTGAGAGACAACGCGCGGGCTCCCAAGGTCCAGCTGACTCCTTCCCGAGGGCCAGCCCCCCCCCCACACACACAGTGCTCCAGCCCACCTGTACAGAAATACTGCTCCAGCCCACCAGCACTCCCATATCCATACGCTGATCCAGCCCACCTGTGCCCCTCCCTCCATAATGCTCCATCCCACCACCCACACAGTGTGTACACATTTCCGGAGAAGGCGTGACGTTAGGTCACGTTCTCGTGCTCCTTGATGCACTAAGTATGTACCTGGTGATTAATCAACTGTTGTGGGTGCCAATCACCAGATGGATAATGCACTTGTCAGTGATGTGGTGGAAGCCGACTCCATACACAGTTTCAAATGCTGCCAGAGACGCTATATGCGTGTTAGTTGCTTTGCAGGAATGTAAATATACCAATCTTATGTAATCTCACAAACCTATTGTACCTTCTTGTAAATATAAATTAATATATTATAAATCCAGATATGATAGAGCCCAGTAGGCTCAGGGATTTGTACACCAGTTGACTGACAGCTGAGAGGTGGGACCAAGGAGCCGAAGTTCCTCCCCCGTAAGCACAATTAGGTGAGTACAGCAGCAGCACCACACTCCAGCAGTCACCCACAGCAGCTGCACCATCGTGCAGCTGTTCACGTACAACATGAGAATGTGATTTAAGTCTGCAGGCTCCTCGATTAACAACACTTATTTGACTTTGTGACTGGCTTATAGCATTTTGAATATACGTACATAGTACCGTTATCAATTTTGTGTTATTATATATATATATATATATATATATATGTCGTACCTAGTAGCCAGAACGCACTTCTCAGCCTACTATGCAAGGCCCGATTTACCTAATAAGCCAAGTTTTCCTGAATTAATATATTTTCTCTAATTTTTTTCTAATGAAATGATAAAGCTACCCATTTCATTATGTATGAGGTCAATTTGTTTTATTGGAGATAAAATTTACGTAGATATATAAACGAACCTAACCAACCCTACCTAACCTAACCTATCTCTATAGGTTAGGTTAGGTAGCCGAAAAAGTTAGGTTAGGTAGTCGAAAAACAATTCATGAAAACTTGGCTTATTAGGCAAATCGGGCCTTGCATAGTAGGCTGAGAAGTGCGTTCTGGCTACTAGGTACGACATATATATATATATATATATATATATATATATATATATATATATATATATATATATATATATGTATATATATATATATATATATATATATATATATATATATATATATATATATATCTTGTCCAGCGAGTCGCATACATTGTTACATATTTATGACCGAAAACAATGGTCATAAATATTAAATATAACACAAAATGTCAATGTTTGAGCTGCAATGATGAAACTTTGTGCCCTTATTACAGGACTACTGCCCTCTTGTGATACTGTTGCAGCACTTCCACATTAAAATTTCCTGGTATATTAAAGCACGCGCAGGAATTTGTCAGCAGTTAGCCACCGTGGTGGCTAACGCCGCCGCCGCCGCCTGGCTACCCAGACTACTGCCCGGTACTAGGCCAAGTGTCGGGAGAAAGTTGATAGTTACTCCCATTCCTTGTCGGACACCGTCCACAGGTTACCATCTTCCCTCCTCATCTCCATCTCTCCTCTCCTCCTCCTCCTCCTCCTCTTCTTCTCTCCTCCTCCTCTTCTCTCCTCCTCCTCCTCCTCCTCTTCTTCTTCTCTCCTCCTCCTCTCGCCGCCTCCTCCTCTCTTCTCCTCTCCTCTTCTCTCCTCCTCCTCTTCTTCTCTCCTCTCCTCCTCCTCTTCTTCTCTCCTCTTATCTCCTCCTCCTCCTCCTCCTCTTCTTCTCTCCTCCTCTCTCCTCTTCTCTCCCCTCTTCTCTCCTACTATTACTCCTCTTCCATCATCCCCTAACTCTTCTTCCTCCTCCCTTCCTCCTTCTCTTCCTCCCTTTGTCTTACTCATTTAATCTTCCACCAACGTGTCCTCAGGGAGGAGGCACCCTGGAGGTAATCACTTCAAAACCCTGTAGATAATTAGTGTTATTATCTACTCCGTATCCATGGTAAGATTAGATTAGGTTTTATTAGGTTTGGTAATAGTACAGGTTTGGTACAGTGTATTATTATCAAATGTGTGAAATATAAAATTCAAAAATTATTTGAGTATCCCCTGGAATTAAATTTACAAAAAAACATTCTTCAAATGGTTTCAAAGAAAATTAATTAGGCATATACACACACACTATATTTTAAATCAACGATTTATAATACAATAAAGTTATAACTAGAGAATATTCTCTGTTTTAGAGCAAAGGTTCACTTGCCAGTTTACAAGTAGATTATTATGATAACAGCTATAGGTTTTCAAACCATCACAAATGTCTAGATGACTATCCAGGTGATATGAGAAGGGGGGGGGCTTGTTCTAATCACTTAACTCTGAGAACTGGCTCCTCCTCCTCTACCGATGAATGTGCTTCAACATCCGCTACGAGGAGGCAACACTCCCCTATTGCAAAAGGGAGTTGCGTGAGCACAGTGTCCCTAAGTGCTATAAGTTTCCTGTCTACACAAAATACGACGACGACCCACGGGACAATCCCGACGAACTCAAGTGTAGTACAGCGACTTCCTTCTTAATTCACAATCGCGAATCCCGGGTTCGATCCCCGGGCAGGATATAAATGTTTGGATACTTTTCCTTTCACCTCATGCCTCCAGTTCACCTAGTAGAAAAGAGGTAACCCATGAGTTACACACATACGGTAGACATTTCCCGTCACGCAGGGTGTAGTCGCACCTCCACAGATCTCCAGTACCATCTATTGATACTGGTAATGGTTCAAAAGGGCCTCTTGCGGGCTATTCATGCCCGTGCCACCTTTTTGGTGGCTTAATCTTCATCATCATCATCAGTTACACAGCCATTATGGGGTTACATCCTGGGGAAGGTCAGTAGTTGGACATTAGGGTAAAGGGGACCCGAGTACAAGTGTGTACATGTTTTCTGTCCCCGACAACGGGAATTATTGAGCCCGGTGTCCGCTGGGAGACCAGGAGGCAGGTAGGAAGTGCGTGTAGGGGAATTCAGGCTTTTGGGTCAGCAGTCTTCCCGGCCTCGCTCACCTCCCCACCACCACCACCCACCTTCCCTGCCGGAGACGCCCCCTCCACCTACCCTGGAGGAGCTCCAGCCATCTACCCTGGAGACAACCTTCACTACTCAACATTCACAGACGAGTCATCTTACGGCTACCAGCCGGTGACAGTAGTCCCCCCCCCCCTACCAATTGTACAACAATTTCTGTTTCGAGGGCAGGTGCTCCCTTGGGACCTGCTCTCTTGGGACCTGTTCCCTACTGACCGTCCCAGGAACCCACAACACTTGCCAAACTCCCGGGTAACTATTATATTGCTAAGTGAACAGAGGCACCAGGTTAAAGAAAATGTGCCCAATCGTCCAGGAAAGACTACGATCTCACTACGTCTGCTCGTCTACTTCCCAGGTCAGTGATGAATAAAATCCAAGGGTCCACATAAGGACCGACATAACCACCTCGTTGTGGGGCAGCAAAAGCCTCACAGAAAATGGAGTTGTTACCGTCAGACAATTTATGTTCGTCGTGAAGTTCCATTCTATTTGTTTATGATGCAGTCGGAGTTGCCCAGTGGGCGGGTGTGGAAGGGTAAGACGCACACTGAGCTATGAAGGGTGTCCTACACCAAGAGCCAAGAAGGAAACAAGAGAAAGAGTACTTGCTGAATCTTCCCCCAGACCAAATATGCCAGGAGTCCAACATCCTCCCATCCTAGTAGCACCAGCTCGTCAACTCCACCAATACCACTCTCCCCTACATGTCCCCGTGGAACCTCTTCATTCCATACCGCTACCTGCCTCTGTTAGTCCCCAAAGCCTCACAATTGCTATTTCACTACACCTTCCATGCCAGACCACTGCCTCAAACATTCCCCAACCCCACCTCTCTCCCACTAAAACTGCTACTTAAGAACAAGAGGTCATAGGTTTAAACTAAGGAAACAAAGCTGCCGAAAAAATTATTAGAAAGTTCACCTTTGCAAACAGAGTGGTAGACGGTTAGAACAAGTTAAGAGAGAAGGTGGTGGCCAAAACCGTCAGTAGTTTCAAAGTGTCATATGTCAAAGAGTACTGGGAAGACGGGACACCAAGAACGTAGCTCTCATCCTGTAAATACACAGGTGGACACATGTATGTTTTCTCGTTTACTATCCGATAAATCCATCATGAACATTGCTCTCTAACCTTCTGTTTGTCCTGTCCTCATCCCTCATGCTCTTGCCGTCTTGGGAAGCTCACGTTTGTAAGGACGACACACGATTTACAGTAGTCTGGGGGCGGGAGGAGGCACACCATGTACTCCCAGGGGTGCACCTCACACCTGCTCGTCTGGACCACCACACACCTGCTCGTCTGGACCACCACACACCTGCTCGTCTGGACCACCACACACCTGCTCGTCTGGACCACCACACACCTGCTAGTCTGGACGCACTGCACACCTGGTCGTGTGGACCACCACCACCCAAAGCCTCGTCAAGGCCATGTACTATACTCTACCTGCAAAAGAAACAACATAAGCTTGACACCTTTTCCAGATAATTTTGTTAATATTAATAAACACGCTCCTATTGTTTTGTTGCTAGTACAGAGTGCCTTCATGTCAAGGATAACATTATACAGTAACCTCGGATAGGTAAATATGGGCTCACATTAACTACATCCTTCAGACCGGCACGTGACGATACCAGTCATAATATCAGATGATTGATTTAATAAATGCATGCAGTATAACTAACACATTGTATAATATAAAAATAAATCAATGATAAACCCATGGAACTGCCTACCAGCCGAAGCCGTCAATGCCAGATAAAAATCCAGTTAAAATTCCTTAGGAAAAATGGGGTGGGGGGGGGGGCTTCAACAAGCCACCGGCTTACACACAGAAATCACACTAACGTGATGCATCAAATGAACAAATCCTCGTCATGGCTCTTGTGGATTTGTTCAAGCCACAGGCTTCCTGTCCCTGTCGAAGCCACTAGAGATAGTGGCTCTCAGGTAAATACAACGAACTGCAGTGAACAGGGTGAACCAGAATGGCTGGATGTAGTGTACATCACAAGAGGCTACATCCTACAAGATACAAGTTTACCGGTGACATTCATCGGGAGAACAACACAACTCTCGGAGCCTCATAGACCGAGCTCTGATTCTGACTAGTTACTAACTTCCTCTAATAAGTGACAAGCATAGTCTTGTGAAGTAAAGTTTAAGAAATAATTATCAAATGCAGAGAGTTACTGTAAGTGGTGTTAAATAATATATATTTAAAAATTATCAAAGGGCATGACAATCTTAGTTCAGATAAATTATTTTTGACCAGCCAGCTGTAACACATAACAATGGTTTAAAATTAACGACAAACCAATTAAGTCTAAAGAAGTGAAAGGTTTCCTTTAATCGAGTGATAAAATGCGCGTGTATGCGCGGTAAAAGCTGACATATACATCTTCAAGTCTGCAAAGGCACAGACGGCTGTCAATCAAAGCACAGCAAAGTCAGTGCATCAAAAGGAAGGAGACTCGCCACAGCCGAGTGACAAACAGAAGGTATCTATCTCACAGCACTAAGACCAGTGACGCCACCCCACAACGACGGCACACAATTGGAAGTTAGAAACAAATGAGGTAAGGAACTCATATTGGTGCGTGGCGAGGGCGGTAAACGAGTGGAACCAGCTTGAAACTGCGGTGGTGAAGTAACCATCATTCACAGCTTAATGAGCAAGTACGTCACTACTGAGGTGTCTCCAGATATTGAAAAAAAAAACTCCAGATAAAATGAACAAATCCACAAGGGTCGTGACGAGGGTTCGAACCTCCGTCCGAGAGGATCCCAGACGCTCCTTAATCGACTGAGCTACGACATGGTATAAGAATTGCAACCGGGAAATCAACTTGACCTACCACGGAACCTGCAGTCTCTCCGAGACACAAACCAGGTTTTTACACAATTCCCCCATATACCCGAGCTGTAAATAAGTTGTTCGTTCATTTGATGCATCACGCTATTGGGATTTCTGTGTGTAACTCCAGATACATTTGCTATAAGTCGGGGCTCTATTTATAATATAAACAATATGTACGGCCAGTTAAGCCATCCAAGAGCTTATTCAGTGAAAATGATAGAGTAAACAATCAGAATACACTGCTACACGAGGCTAGCCAAGTCATCAAACACTTAACACACAACTGAATGGTAACGTTTCCGTATGAACAACGTTTACGTGTCTGAGAAGGGTGAAGACCACCCGTGTGTGAACAGAAAGTTGGAATATCAACAAACTAAGTAAATTCATCTCAGTCGAACAATTAGGCGCCAAACCCAACGCTAGGCAAAATTTAGAAAATCTTTATTTAAATAGCGCAATCATGACATGGGAGCTGAATTAGGTACACCAAGAAGTGTATACAATTTAACGGTGTATATATACTAAGAGTTTACTTAAGTATTGGACTGCATTCAGGTCTGTTACATAGTGTTCCCGGTTTGGTTCCTTTTGATAATTACAGTTATGTTCAGATCTAAAGTTTACTTATCTGGTTGGTCGGTAAGCTCTTTTGTAGCCTTGAGAATATTCCATATATTGATAGACTTTAATCCCAAGATCAAACCAAAATGGGCGCCGAAACGGTAAGAGTTTCCAGCAAGAGGAGAAGTGCAGGCGGCGTGCACGACCGTGATGATCACGCTGAGGGAGCAGGCCGTGGCGGTGGCGGCGGCGTGCCTGTGGTCTGCGTCACGCTCCCTCCCCGCCACCTGCTGCTATATCTCTACCCACCCAAAACTATCACAGCTCCACACCAGAATTATATACACCCACTCCCTACCTCTCACGCTCTTCCCTATGTGGATAACTAGTGCAGACTCGCTCAAGACTCCGTAGATAAGTAACTCTCTTTAAAATCCGACTTAAAAAAAGCTTTTCCCAGAAGCGGAACATCGGGACCGGACTGGTAAATGTACACCTGGATATGGGAAAACTTGGTGCCGTGAAGGTTATACAAGCACGGGCTGCAAGTTAAGGTGAACCGTTTTGTATATAGGGCGATGCCATTGGGTTTTGATTATGAATTCTCATTCTCTTATTTATGAATACGATGCAATAAGTTTACATTTCCGTGTAAACATGTTGCTACAAGAGGTGGGCCAGTAATCTCACGTCCCAGCACCATCCAGCAGTGATCAACACATTCCAGCCAGCCCGTTCTCACTAGCGTTCCCAATGTCAAGAACTGTCGTACAAAAAGTGCCTTAACCTAACCTACCAGAGGACTTACGAACAGAAAACGGGAAATTATGTAAATTTTGCGAGCCGCTACCACTTTCTAGTACAACAGTTTTTTATTTTAGGTAAAGTATACGTCAAAAATGCGACGTGCTATTATGAGAACGAGTTGATCCAGCAGTGACCAATGTGTGATGTTGACACCCTTATGTTTCATATTATTATTATTACGTACAATATAATTGAATAACGTTAAACTAGCGCTAGGAACGTAGATGCAAGGTTAAAGCTCCCATATTTACCCGGGGGGGGGGGGGGAGAAACACCAATCAGAGTATCTCCAGTCTACCGTGGTGATCGCAACGGCTATAACAGCTCCCTTTTGATGAACTGTTATCGTATCCCAGCTGATGGAGTAACGGATGTAATTGTTTGCTGGGCAGCGTCGCATGACGGCCATGTGTGGGACTGGCGGCTGCAGCCATGTTTAGTGAGCTGTCGGTAGGTGCCGCCTGAGACGGGTAGAGGGCAACACAAGCAGCTGCACAGTCATCTACCCACAGAATTATATTAGACTTTATCAATAATCAAAACCGTGAACCATGATTAATGGTTTCCCTGTTGTAAAATAGTCAAACGTGGCTATTTTACTACAGGACTCTCACACAGGTAGCATCCATAACGCCATGTTTGGGGAAATGTGGTAATCACGGAGGGACTCTTTCAGGGTTGGTCCACCTGGACACTGACGCCGACAGTCGACGACCCAGACGGCTATTGGTCATTCCATAATCAGATGGTTAGACAATAGACATCTGATATCAAAACTACTTAACCTAATCCAGTCCAATCTAGCAGTCTAGCCTAGCCTAGCCCAGCCCAGCCCAGCCCACTATTAAGTAAATTTAATAGTATGATGTAAATGAGCAAAATATAACTGAATTATTAGATTATATATTATTGCTAACGTTTCAAAATATTAATCAAAGTACCCGGTTTGGCAATTTAAGAATTCTCGACGAAATAACTGGTGACGACTTATTACCTCAACTCGGAATCCTTTATTTGTAAACATTAAACTGCATCTGGCGATATCTCGTTCATGTTAAAAGCCGGCTACTTTATTTTTCAGCTATTTGATTCGCCTGAATTTATTTCCCGTCCTAGTTTTGTATCAACTGTAAATTTGCTAATGTTGGCAATCAGTCATTAGAATAGTTTATGTATACGGCAAACAGTTTGCCGCATACATGAACTAATACGGCAATAAATACACACATTGCCTAGTTTGTCAGGTAGATGCAACCCACTGTTGCAACTAACAAGCTAAGATATGCTAGGAGAGGCAAGTCAGTGTCTTACTACACCTGTGTGCAGTCTAAAGTAGCCTCGACGCTTCCTGCACCTTGCACTGTGGTCAGGTATCGTTGTCTAGATATTTTACTACAAGATCGAAAGTTGGTTTTGATCTTGCCCAACACACGAGATGAAAACAAAAGTTCCGACACCACCCATTAGTGACCATCAAGCTCACGCGATGGGTGACACTGCAGGGTGCCCCTGTCACGAAGAATGAATGGTCACGAGGTCTTTCTCAGCCTCCAGAGCCTGTGACACAACAGGCTGGAGCCGGCTGGCATTGTCACAGTCTCCGCCGCTCGCCTCTGTCCACGTCTTTCTCCAACACGCACATTGTCTTGCGCTTTGTTAGGCTACGTGTACATTCTGACGCCTTCAGTGTGTGGTTTGGATCATTATTTGTTCCGCCAGAGCTGCTTGTCTGAGAATTAAATCGCCATTGAGCCCGCAGTTAACACGTTTGTTTGTAAATGTGTTTAAGATAGTTTCAGGTTAACATTTGTAATTGAAGTCCCCGTGGTGTGGTGGTTAAGACATCCTCCTGGCGTTTCGCAAGCGCTTTGTCCTTGGTAGGACAGACCGAAACGTCCTTACTTTCATTACGGGTGGGTGTGGGGGTATGAGTTCCTGTCGTTTGAAAGTTATCGAGTTTCTTCAATATCTTGCAAGATTTTGGTTTATTTATAACCAATTCTGGTTTACAATGTTAATTAACTCTGGTGATACACACACTTCACTGTGTACACTTTACAAAATTACTTCACATTTTATGAATACTGTTAACCTTCGGGAGTTCAATATAATTTACGTTATTGGTCTGGAGAGCAAGAAAAGGGGAAGAGACGAGATGATAGAGAGCGAAATGGCAGACACCAAGAGAGAGAGAGATGGCGAGATGCAAGTACCT